ATGCCACCAAATTTTCACTATTTCTGAATTATCTCCCCTTGAATGAGGGCGTGGCCCTTCATTTGAACAAACTTGAATCCCCTTTACCTAAGGATGTTTTGTGGCAAGTTTTGTTGAAAATGGCCCAGTGGTTCTGGAGAAGAAGTTGAAAATTTGAAAACAGAAGGACGGACGGACACATAGACTACAGGCAAAATGTGGTCAGAAAAGCACACTTGAGCTTTCAGATCAGGTGAGCTAAAAATTATTTGTTTGATCTACTCCAACATCAAAATTGCCCCTACCCAATCATTTTTTTTTCAATACTTTGAATTCGTTTTCTTTTTTGGTTTATTGGAAAATAAAGATATCAATTTTAAAGTTAAGGTTTATCATTTCCTTGGGGGGGTTCATAAGATTGAAAGTAGGAATCAATATGAGATGATACTAGTTGTCAGACGTATACTGAAAACATCAGTAAAGTTAAGTCTGTAGTTTTTTATGACATATCTATCAATGTGTTAGATAATTCAGAAAAAAAAAACACAAAAAAACCTACCTACCAACAAATTAACATACCCATCTTTAAAAATGTGAGTCGGAGTACATCAAAGAAAAAAAAATTAATGACGGCCTAGAAACCTGGTGTCATGTTGCATAACTATACTAAGATGAAGTGCGTGTAAATTTAAATAAAGAGATGAATGGAAAATTTTGTAGACTGTCAAACAGGATACAATACAGGAGAAACTGCAGTACTACCGTCGTACTTTGACCCCTTTTGACAACGAATTTTATTTTTCTTTGTGTGTGTGTGTGTGTTTTTTTTTTTCGGTGTTTTATACTTCCTCGATTTTAGTACGCTAATCTAGTTATGTAATCTTGCACGCCGACGAAATAAATCTCAATTGACATCGAATTCCATATGCCGCATAGTTAAAGAAAAAAATCTATTTATATTCTATATTCTTAGAAAACCCTTGGTAACAATCTGATAAATTTATTGTAGACACAGATTTAACATACTCAGTGTGAACAAATACATGTATTAATGTTAACGAAAGTACATTTTTTTAACTTTCGTAAGTGAATGGGAACGTATGAGGAGAGAGAGAGAAGCTCACATAGTGGTTGGTTTGTTACAAGCTATACTGTATGAATAATTATAAATTCACAGTTTTTTTTAAGCGTATAATTAATGAACGTCATCGCTGATGATATTTACCTACTTTACCTTTTTCAAATTGATGAATTGGGAAATATTCTCCAACTTACTTCCCCCGTGTCAACAAATTATCAAAACTGTAACCCTTTGATTTTCTGTCAACTGTACAGATGACAAACAAACATTTGATTTTCAGTAAAATTATTTTTAAAGAATTCATAAAACCAGATTTAACAGAAACTTTAGAAGAAAAACTTACTCATAAACACTTGTGATTTCACCAGGTAACCTTCATTAAAATCCTGATATAAATAAAGCGAAACCAAACATCAACAATGGGGACTCGCGTCAGAGAGAGAGAGAGAGAGATACGTGTCCACAAGATCACACCTAGACAGTTGTCCACTGAATGAGGCAAGTTTAAAGACGACATGGTTCTATACATCTTAATTATACCTTTCATACACTTGAAAGCATTCCTTATCACTGTTTAAACATTCCAGCCTCCTCTTATCAAAAAGTTTCACACATCGAACGGAGGGTTTTTCCTGATACCAAAATAACTCAAGTTGGTATACATCAAGACCTAGCTTCAAGATTGGGTGACTATATGCCATAGTGTTCATATTCAATAAAAAAATATCATTAATTGTCAATGATAAGTAATAATCAAGAACACAGCGTCGTGTTTACTAAACAATTAAGCTCGACCTTGAGGCGGTCGATTGTTTAGAATTTTACGATGTTTCATTGATACTTAACACCATCTGATAAAATACACAAATTTAGATTGAAGCAAAGCATCAAATCGACCGCTTAAATTTAGCATAATAAAATAGGAATTTTACGCTATTTGAACATATTATGAACATATTTTATTGAATAATTTATACAAAAGGACAGGATACAAGACGTTAGTTCTTTCAACCTAATAGATCTTTTCCTTATTATACATGCACAATAAACATAATGATTATCAAACAAATAAATCGAAATAAATTACAGGTTGGATAAAATTATATACATAAATTATATCTGTTATTTTAATTATTTAATTAAAGACCTATCGTAGTATAGAGCATAGAGTCTACCAGTGCTCTAAATTTACATATCGTAATGGTTACAATGTTTGTTGAACAAATGAGTTACATGTTTAAAAAGGATTTAAAATTTCTTACATATTCTATATATGATGAATTCAAAGACACATGTTTTGAATTAGAATCTATGATCTGATTCTCAAATAATTTTTATGCTCAGCCATGAGGCTCAGTTTAAAAAAAAACAAACTATTCAAGATATTTTTATCAAACTTCACTGAAATGCTGATACATATTGTTGAGAGCTATTCGGCGGCATCAACATTATTTGACCTTGATCTTTACTTTGACCCTGACCTCACTTTTCTTAAATAAGTGTTCTGCTCAGTTTCAAAGAAAATATTCAAGACATTTTTATCAAACCTTATATACGCTGATGCATATTGATGGGAGCTATCAACTGAATCAATATTTTTTACCTTTTACCTTTGACCCTGACCCTGACCCTGACGTTTTTTTTAAATTTGCATTTAGGAAACTTTCAAAGAAATTATTTAGGATATTTAAATCAAACCTTATTCAACTGCATCAACATTTTTTGACTTTTATAAATTTGATCTCACTTTCTTAAATAAGTGATTATCTAAATTTTAAAGAAACTTAAGATATTTTTATCAAACCCTATATGCTGATACATATTGATGAGAGCTATTCAAGTGCATTAACATTTTTTGACCTTGAGTTCCCTGTGACCTTGACCCCACTTTTCTTAAATTATTGTTCAGCTTAGTTTCAAAGAAACTGTTCAAGATATTTTTATCAAACTTTAAATGCTGATACATACTGATGAAAACTATTTAACATAATCAACATATTTTTTACCTTGACCTTTCCTTTGACCTCGATTCCAGTTTTCTTAAATTTGTGTTCAGCTGAGTTTCAAAGAAATTGTTCAAGATATTTTAAACAAACTTTATATGATTATATATATTGCTGAGAGCTATTTAACTGCATCAACATTTTGATCTTGACTTTTCCCTTGACCTTGAATTCAAATTTGTGTTTAACTAATTTTTAAAAAAACTATTCAAGATATTTTTATCAATCACTATATGCTTATACATGTTGATGAGAGCTATTTAATGGCATCAACATTTTTTTACCTTGGCCTTTTCTTGACCTTGACTTCAAATCTGAATTTAGCTAAATTTCAAGGAAACTATTCAAGATATGTTCATCAAACTTCATATGTTTATACATATTGATGGGAGCAACATTTTTACCTTGACCTTAATTTCGTTTGACCTCATTTTTCTCAAATTTTTGTTTAGCTCAGTTTCAAAGAAACTATTTAAGATATTTTTATGTAAGCTTATGCACTGATACATTATTTGGTGAGAGTTTACCAACTGTGTCCTTTTTTCGACCATGACCTTCCCAATGACTTTTGACTTTACTATTTATTGTGTATAAAACTCAGTTTTAAAGAAGCTATTCAAGATATTTTCTTCAAACTTTATACACTAATACAAATTTTCATGTTGCATTACTAATTAACCCTGGGCGGGGCATTCATGTCCTATGGATATATTTCTAGTTTGGAGTAGAACCTATCTGATTCTCGAATAAATTTGTGCACACTACAGAAAATTGGATAAACTGGTTTGAACATATTTTATCGTATTTTATAATTACAAAGGGATTTGGCACAAGTCCTGAAAACTTATTACGACCTCTCCCTACATGTATATTACAAATTTAAATTGTCACAGTTAAATATGAAGCTTTAAAGTATATAATACAAGAAGAATACAATTATGAAGATTCATATTTTTTGTTTAGTTTGTTTGTTTTTCATCATATGCATGACTATAGAATCTAGAGTAGGGTCACATTAGTGGATATCAAAGTATGAATATATATACAGAAAAAGAGGGGCTTCTGTGATAGATAGGAAAAAGAGGAACGAACAAAAGCACGATGAAAAATTATGCTGAACCCCGCGAGCCCTCTGCATGAACAGGCCCATAAAAAACTATATTTCAGTTTCGGAGGTCGTGGGGTGGGGTGGGCCGGGCAGCTACAGTGTAGCAGTTTAAAAGATTCCTTCACAAGCAAAAAAAAAAAAAAAAAAAAAATCAAAAAAAAAAAATCGTAAATTAGTTTTCTTTTCTATTGAATTGGCATAATTGTTTGGAGGGGCACGGTTCTCACGAGCCATCCATGTTGATATCTAAGGTCATTCCTATAGTCAACTTACCACGCCCCTCCAAAATCTTTAACTGGCAACTGCACCAAATATAACAGGAAATGAAAAATGAACAAAGACAAGATGAAAAATTATGACTTTGCTGGATTTCAAAAATATGGTGGAAGTTTCCCCGCTAAAAACAGAAGGCTTAACAATATACAAAAAGTTATATTGATACGCATGCATTAGAGATTCATTTTGTAATTTTATCCAATCTAATTAAAATTAGATGTTCCGAATCCGCTACCACTTCTCAAGAGGTAGCGGATTCGGAACATCTGATTTTAATTAGATTGAATTTTATCAATACGTTATTCATGGTCTCCGGAATAGAGTTTGGCCACAACTGTTGACAAGATTACAAAGAAATATAAACTTTCGCAAGAACAACAATTTATATGTGATATTGTTTTACTTTGACCCCCCCCGGGATGTAACTATAGTATAGGAGGTGGACTTGACCAGCTGTCTTCGATTTCAAATGAACTGAGGTCATGCAATACGAAATATTTTGGGATGACAGACTACTACAGACTCAACTTCCGGTTAAAAAAAAATATTGGATTTGGTATCGCGCCATCAAAATATGAAAAATGGAAAACTTGTTTTATTCCCCATAACAGTAAGAAATATATATAAATTTTCTTTTTTCTATATGATTGTTTCAATTGTACACAAACTGCAATGCATTGTGGCATTTTTCTTTTATGGGACAGACATACAAAGGTATCGGCTGCCGCCTGATGTAAACAGTGGTAAACAAACTGAAGACAAAAAAATATAATTGCTAGAATTATTCTATATGCAAGGGGGGAAAACGTTATTGTTTAATTTTTACTTGTTCTGAGCTGTGCACCTCCTTTTTAAACTCATATGAAGGATCGCTTTGAATGGAAAACTTTGTCCATGCATAAGCAAGTTTTTGTAAGGTACGTGTAAGTAAAGACTTTTTTAGTTTCATGGAAATGTGCCACAAATATTTTAGTAATTAAGATAGTTTTGGACTTTTGGACTAAATCCTTTTCATGGAATTATGCTATATACATATTGGAAATTGAGAAAGATTTGGCCAAAATAATTTGAAATAACAAATTTCCACATATTGCATCAGTATGACATTATGATTGTGCTCAGGACATATCAAGTTAAAGCTTTTTTGAACGGATATATTCCGTAAAACTATTCTAATTAAGCAAGAATTGCCAAATTTTAATTACTTAAATTTAAAGTGGTATTATTTAATTATCTTTTATTTGCCAAGTAGATCAAGAGACAGGTTTCTTGAAACCTAAACAGTTACTTCCAAAGGCAGAAACTAGGGGTATTTGGTGGCATATTGTGATATTTAAAGCATTGAATTATTATTTTAGTTTCATAATTGCAGTGTGTGCAGATGAATTGAGTAACCAGTCTGGTCGAACCCCCAAAGGGGGGTAAATGGAAATAGGAAAACCATACCTCCTAACGGAGGTCTGAGCAATGAGCATATGCAGATTCTTAAAAATGTGCATATTTCACGCAAAAAGTAGGGGTCTACAAAAAACGCTGGTGCAAAGTAACGGATCATTTTGTAAATGTAAAACCAGTTGGAAATGATAGTTAAAAGGTGTTTTTACAAAAATACAGCTTGATTGTACAAATTGGTATTTATTCGCTGGCAAAGTTGGCGATCTTTTGATTCTTAACATACAGTTATTTAAGAAAAAATATGTGATGAACAGACATAAGCACCAAATAATGAATTTATAAAAGAAATCTATTATTCTGCATTTCCTCTGACTAGCAACCCGCGGTCTTTATTCTCGATAATCATGCCCAGGAAATGTAACAAAAATACAGTTAAAAATAAAATTCAAATGCAATTTATGGTATTTATTGTCTTTAATATTTTATAAGAATTAAATAAAATGTTTGGCAATTTGTTTTTTTTTTTTTAATGAATACGATTATTTGAGGGAAAAACACGATTATATTTTACTTTATTTAAATCTAGATTCAAAATTCATATTTTCCTCATTCTTAGAATATTTTTCCTTGTGTTTTAAATTCCATAATTTAAAAAAATCTTTATTGAGACATCACACAATAACATGTATAATAAATTATTTCATGAAATGACGGGAAATATTTCATTATTCCTACAGTATCATGAGTATAAATTCAAATTATGGAAAACTTAACCAGTTGATTTTTTTCTGTTGACATTTTACCAAGTTCATAGCAGAAATAACAATATTATCAATCTTTTTTCCTAAGATAGATGATATAGGCAAGTTAGTTTATATTGGATACGGTAAGAGTTACTGTTCTTGCGCATTGCATGACAGGACGGGAAACCCTCATTTGAGGGTATACCCATGTTTGAGGGTTCGACCAGACTGGTAACACGTAATGAAAATTTGGTTGCACACACTGTTGCAAATATTAGACTACATCTTTCAAAAAATAATAATTCAATGCTTATATTTACATTTTTTAACTCCCTGCCTTGTCAGCAAATGTGATTTTTATATTTCAAAATCCATGTATTATTCTTCGGGTAACATGGGTAAGTTACAGTTATTTACAGTGATTAAAATGCAACAGCTACTACCATTAAACTTTTCAATGTGAGCATGAATTTTGATTTTCGCTTATGATATTGCACTTGCACAGCATTTAACATTGTGACATCAAAATAAAAATTGAATTACAATTATCAAAATTGTAAAATAATTTGTAAAACAGTAAAGCAATGATATCCTAGCATCCAAACATGCTTTATCAATATATAAATTTAAAAAATGAAAAAGGTGAAGATATGTTTTGAACTTTTCACAGCATATTTCTTACAAAAAGTTATGGAAATTCATTAAAAATCATACTAAAATTGCATGCAAAAATTTCATGATGTTATCGTGATTGTTTCTGGAAAAAAGTGATATACTGCAATACAAATATTTGGTGATGCCCATCCCTACAAAATACCCTCTATAGGTTCCGATCAATTAATAATATGGTATGCTTCCAATGGTAACATAGGACATATATCTTCGCTGAATTTGTAGTCTTCAGCATAGGTCATAGGATTGTTATTTGCATTGGAATCATGTTTATATGTTTAACTTTCATGAACTTGATGAAGACAATCGATGGGAATTGACTCTTACATGTGTGAAAATTTAAGGTACACTAGAGAATTTCACTAGCCTATCTACCTTTATGCACTTGACAAGTTGAGAACAAATGTTACTTGTCTAAATCTAATGTTTACTAAGTTGAGAACAAATGTTACTTGTCCGAATTCAATGTTACTTGTTCCACTTTGAAGAGATATAAAAACTATTTTCAAGAATGAAGTACAGTTGAACTTCGGTATCTCAAACACGGATACCTCGAATACCATGGATATGTCGAAGTGATTGGGAAGTCCTTATCACATATTTCTTAAGTATTTTACCCTCAATATCTTGAACCCTCAGATATCTCGGAAGTTTTCTCTCGGTCCCATTAAGTTTGAGATAACGAGGTTTGACTGTATTATTGTTAATTTGATGTATAAAGATTATTTTTGATTAAAAATACAGTAAGAACTGTATCTAACTTTATCTTGATAGCACTTGTTTGTTAACAATATCCATCGACAATTAACAGAGCTCCCCAGATTGTAGCATTTTATAGTTAATGTGAGAAATGAATTCTGTTGAGATTTTTTTCATTCATATTTACATTATTCCATGGTAACACAATACACTGTAAGTAACTTGTCTGATCGGACAAGTGTGTTTGCAGGTAAGTAAAATGAATTGGACATGGACAATCAGACAAACATTATTGTTGAGCCCTGTAGTTGATAATAAGTGACCAGTTTGTTGGTGAATTAAATATACAGTGTAACCCTGGTAATTTGTCTATCCTTTTTATGCTAATTCTTAATTTTTAGAAACATTGTTGCAATATTTTAAACAAAAACTTTTAATTTAAATGAGTTTTGAATACAGATACGCTATATTTAGCATTAATGACTAATGTATTACATGTGGTTAGCATCTATACAGGTATCAAAATACTGAAATATACTATTGTAGGATTTAATAATGCAATACACCGATTATTTTGACAATACTGCATAGTATGATACCCCTAGTAATCAGTGTTGGTCAAGCGCTATTTGAATTGTTGGTCTACAGCTAAAATACATATGTGTACTGTTTCTCATATGGTAAATGTGACCTTATACAATGTAGAAGTTTTTTCAGCCGATGTATGTAGTATCCTGATTAACTGCAATTAAATGTAATTTTTTTTTTAGGTCAGATCTCACAATGACTCTGGCAGCAGAAGATTGTATGTGCCCAATATGCATGTGTATATTAGTGGAGCCTGTCACAATGCCATGCAAACACACCCTGTGTTACCCGTGCTTCAAGCAGAATGTTGAGGAAGCTAGTTTAGCATGTCCTATGTGTCGCGTTCGAATCTCCGTGTGGGCAAGAAGGGGGGCTAAGAATGGCACCCTGGTGAACAAAAAGCTCTGGAGTCAAATTCAGCAGTTGTTCCCTGAGAAAGTTGAAAAACGACAAAAAGGGTTGGATGACAGCATTGATGAGCCTGGTGAGACTGTTAGCAGAATTACCATCAGTTTGAAAAATAAAGTTTGATTATAGGCATAATTGGCCCTTTTTAATTCAAAAAAATATTTAGAAGCATTTTTTTCTGGAATCATATGTTTAAATGTTTATATATTTTTTCCAGTGTTCCAGCCTCTGATAAATATTGCTGAGCCAGGGGAAATACGTAAAGAGTATGAAGAACAGATGAAAAGGGTTTGCTTATATTTATATTCATTCAAATGAGAACCTAAAAAAAAAAGAGAAGAAAGTTTTCTTTTGTTTTACTATGTATTTTCTTGCATCATATCCATCTGTTTAAATATACTTTACATTTGAGCCAGATATTGATACTGATCATGAAGAAAACTGATATTTTCTATATGAGCATTGATATACCTACATGTAAATGAGAGTACTTTTAAGGGATTTTTATTGGCCCGTTCTCAAGCAGGGTGCATTATAGTACGTCCATCCGTCTGTTCATCCATCTGTTCATCCATCTATTAGATTTTATTCTGTCAGGCGCATAACTTAAAAGCTTTGAGGCCTAGAATAATCACATTTTGTCAGCAGATACATTTTGGGTATAAAGTTTGTCACACAGTAAAATTAGGTCACTGTGACTTTCAATTAGGATTAAAAAACAAAGCCCTGTCCGGCTCATTACTGAAAAATAACATGATTTAGAATCATCAAACTATGCCAGTTAAAGTATCTTAGTTGGTGTGTCACACCGTACATTAAGGTGTTAGGTCACAGTAATCTTTAATTATTATGATGTGGCAAAACCCTGTCCAGCTCATAACTGGAAAACTGTTAGACTAAAAGATTAATCAAACCTGGTCATTTAATGTATCTTACTTAGAGGGATTATTACTGTGATCTGTAATTAAGGTGATATGGCCAAATATGACAAAACCCTGTCAGGTTTAATAACTGGAAAATCTAGAATTATCAATATTGGTAAAATATTGCATCTTAGGTAGAGGGTTTGTTGCACCTTATATTAAGATCAGTGTAACCTTTAAATAAGGTGATAGTCAATTAAAAAAACATAAACTATATTTTAAGGGAAATACTTCCTACAGATGTAAGAGCAGTCACCTTATTAAAAATCAAGAAAATATAGATTTTTTTTGTGGTAAACATTTATATTCAAATTATATCTTTCTTTTCTTTGTAATGTTCAATAATGACAATAGTAATGTAACTCAAAAATGCAAAGACTTGACAAGTGCAAACGCAACAGATAAATTCCACTTTTCCCATGGGAGAAATGGTGTAAAATAATGGTATTTCAACATGAATAGGGCATTTTGATGAGTCACATTTCATCTGTCAAGTTAAAGATTAATGAGTACAATAGAAGAAGGCTGTCTTAATCATTTCAATTTAAGCATATCTTTTCAAGCAGGTGTAATCCATATCTCTCAGAAATTGGGCACAGGGATTAAAAATCTGGCCTGTTAATTGCAAATGATAGCATATGTCAAATGAAAATAGTTCTTGATGACCAGCATTTTATTTTCGAAGTTGTTTTGATTTAAAATTATCAATATGAATTTGATATAGATAATTTTTTAGTGTAATATAATTTTTTCAACAATCAGAATGCAGAGTGTCATGTCTCAATAAGATGACAGTAATTGCAATTAAGTTTTACAGTCTAATAACAAATATAATGATTAGTATTTGGTGTTTTATTAGGTTGTGGTATTGTTCATCATTCATAAAAAAAAAACAATGAACACAGCTACAGATTGGGCAACTCCAGCATAATCACATGATAATCAGCTGTGAAACCTACAATGTACTATTTGTTCTGATTAGTAACTACAGCATAGGAGATGCATGTCAAACTTTAGAAATAGAAAAATCATTTAAAACTTTGTACCAAGGTTACTTGATTTTCTTCCTTGCACACTCATCTATTTATGATACACAATACAAGACAGCATATCGTGCCATGGCAGTGCACTTTATATTAATCTTAATTTAATTTTTTAGCTTGAGGCACAGAGAGAAGAAGAGAGGAAAAAAGAACAAGAGGCAAGTGAGGCCCTGATCAGGCAGCTAGAGGAGGAAGAAGCAAGGAGAAAGGAACTAGAAAATCGGGACAGGGAACTAGCTAAGGAGATTAGTCAGGAGGTCAACCAGGTTAGGAACTCCTTAAGAAAATGATAAAATTTTCAAATCTTAAACCAAATGTTTAGTGTGTTTTCAGATATTGTAGCCAGCATACTCTATCCTTGGACCTTTGGCAATTTTATCTAACAAGAAACCCTTTGTTTAGTGTGCAACCCAAGAAAAATAATGACCCCCCCTCCCCCCCCCCCCCCCCCCCCCAAAAAAAAAAGTAAAAAAAAAAAATTAAGTAGGGTACCTTTGAACAAAACAATTAAAAAAAAGAATATGTGTTAATTCATTTTATTTGATGTCACGTTAAATGAAAATGCTGGAGAAACAAATACTGTTCTTTATTTCAGTATTAATTCTGTTATAGTAAAGTTTATGATTAAGTGAGAGGCCCATAATTAGTAGATAACTTATATTTTATGTTTCATTACAGATTCTAAATTTAAAGTTTATCATTTTTCATACTGCCATTTTTGGGGGCATATATGTTTCTATAACATTTCTTGTTGCGTTTAAATTTTTCAAAAAAAAGGATGGCTTAAACTACATGTAAAAAATAAAATAATTACATGAAGTTCATGTTTTGATTGTGAATATTTTATTTGCAGAGTATTAATGGTGATGATTCTGTTGCCTTTGTTGGAGACGATGCAGCACAGCGCCAAACTCGCAGCACATCCAGTACCTCCTCCTGTAGCGCTTCTAGTAGCAGACCTCCATCGACCATTGATTCACTGCTCCGAAAAATGAGAGAAGCAGAAAAATTAAAAGCAGCAGATGTAGCCAGCAGAAAGGCATCTTCACCATATCCTTACAAATGCTACAGTCCAACAGAGAAGGCATCTAAGCAGAAGAAAGGGAAGGAAAATGGTGGTGCCTCCCCATTTCTTTATAAACGTAATGATTCTGCAGAAAAGTTGACCCAGGGGAGAGACATAGTTTCTAGGAACTTGTCGTCTGCTGGACTTTCCTCCAGAAGCTGCACCAGTGTGAGTGAAATGGGAAATGCTGAAGATGATGATGATGACGATGAGGATCTTCCATCAAAATATGTCTCTCTTGGTCTTCCATCACTGGAGACTGCCATAGGAAATATAAGTGACCGTTCTGATGGTGAAATATTTGACAAAGACTCTGTTGAGGTGATAGAGAGATGTCGGAGTTCTGAGAGTATGGACAGCATTAGTCAGGAGATCAGTCACTTTCGACCAATCAGAGTCTGTCCTCTCACTCCACCACGTAAACTTCCCAGCGGTAAGGTTGTTGAGGCGCCACTAATCCGTACCACACCAAGAAACTTGAGTAAAACGGAATTTGGATCTCCAGTTCGGACTCTCTCTGATCTGGATGCTTCCAGTCCAATCATGCAGAGAAGGTTATCTGAGTTGGAGGAGGAGAGAAAGACAAATGTGAATAAGTTATCGAAGTCTACAAGTACAGAGACTAAAAAAGACACCAAAAAATCCAAGGTGGTGACTTTGACTCGTGATCATGATTACAGTGGGACTAATAAAGGTAACAGTGATCATGATTACTCAGCCGTGGTGATTGACCTTGAGGCAGACAATCATGAGGACTCGTCTCTTAATGAAAGCAAGGAAGATTCTGGAAATCCGGAAGAGAAATCCGATACAAACAAATACAAACTGAAAAAGCTTGTCATTCCATTGGAACCTACATTTAATGATAATGACTTTGACATTCCACCCATGAAGGAAAACAATCCGCAGAGAATAAATAGTGACACAATCACAGTTGTGGGAAAACAATCACCGATTCTAACAAAGAGTAAAAGTGAGCAGGATACTAGTGTACGGAAAAAAGTGCAGAAGTTATCTGGGAAAGCAAAACTGGCATTAAGTAGCCCGCAGCGGACAATTACAGACTGGATTAAACAGTCAGCAGAGTGTAGTGGACAGAACAATTTTCATCTGGAGCCGAGTGGTAGGGATGATGTGGATGGGGAACCAGTCCGTAAAGTTAAGAAAGGACAATTGGTCAGTGTGACCCCATTAGGTGACTGCCCACGAAGAAAGGAGAAACGACACAAAAAGGTTAAGTCATATCCGAAACGTGAAAGAAAACCGTACAACCCAGACCCCATGTGGACGTTTGTGAGTGCAGTGCACAAGAGCCAACATGTGGACATGGATGAAAGTTCAAAGGACAGCAGTGTTTTTAATGGTGTGTTGGATGAACAGAATGTTGAGCGAAAAGAAGTCTCTAATCTGCACTCAAAAAAAAGGACAGCTACATCTATGAATGATGAAAAACCCAAGAAAAGAAGGAAGGTCACAGAAAAGGCAACAGTCAGATCCAAACTAAAACAGACGTCATCCAAAGCTAAACTCAAGTCAGTCCAACATTCGCAGGCAAAAAATCCTATCCTTAACTTCTGCTCACAGTCAAATTTAAAACGGGTAAAGGATGCTATTAAAAATAACCAGTTAGTAGATGAAGAAGCCGATTTTAGAGTAAGTGATGGGGACAGATTGGACAAAGAAACACAGGAAATGATGGACAGAAAATTAGCAGAAGAACTTGCTAAGCAGTATGAAATGGAGGTGAAAAGTGGTTTTCGATTTTTCAAGCTGAAGGGAACTTCAGAAGAATACAATTTCAGGCGGAAACCAAAGCTCTCTACCTGATTATTTCCCCTTGAATCTTTAGATGAACTGTGCAATCACACGGTGTCATTTTATTCTAGTATGTTGGACATGATGGCCTTATCAGGTTAAAGAAAGTGGCATTTTTTGTTTTTCATTTGTTTTTTTCGAGGCAAACAATTGGTCTAAATGTTACATGTTAAACACTATGAATTAATTTTCCATTCATTTAATGTTTAGTTTTACTGCAAATTTTGAATAGCTCATGCTGAAATGTACACGTTTGGGAACATAAAAAATACAAGTAAATCACTGTTTTTTCTATCGGTTTAAATTAATCATTGATTAATAACCAGTGATTAGTGGGGGTGTTTTATCTTTGTTTAGTCTTTATAGTTTTCTTCCCCTCTTTGCCTCTATGCTTTTTGTCCCTATTGACAGTAAAACACACCTTGTATCACAAAAAGGCAGTCAAATTTGCTTATTCTACATTATTTGATTTTTTTCTCTCCCATGGAAGAACATAAACTGAAAGTAAATCTGTAAATAGTACACATCTAAATTGAAAGTAAATCTGTTACACATCTAAACTGAAAGTAAATTGTAGATCTAGTACACATTTACATTGTAAACACATTTGTGACAAGTTTCTGGAATTCGTTATCAGGAATGCTTCTTGGGTTATCAATTTGATAATCAAAACCAAGTAATTTCTAACTCTTTACTTTTCCAATAAATAAGATGCCAAGTGCAAAATTGGTTTAAGAAAAATGAAGGCATTAAGCCAGAGAAACTGGTAATAAGTGTATGATTAGATAATGTGTACATGTAAAAGCTAAGGTGTATGCTTAACATGGTTAAGGAAAATCTCCTTAAATCATGTTCATGTCTATATGATGCTTCAAATATTTTATGCAATATAACTAGTAATATATTTCTTACTTTTTGTAAATATGTGATGCTTTAATTAAAATATGAAATATAATACAGAAAAAAATTACATGTATGTATGTGATCCTGTATAGCAGGTAGCAGAATCTGTGTACTTGACAATTAGTAAATTCATGTAGAACAAGTATTTTTATTGAATGATTTAAATTATTTTGACAAAATATTAGCATTTAGATTTTTGAAGTCCATATTCAATCAAAATAATTTCCTGTTTTACAAAAGAACTTATGACCAAGACCAAAAACTTAAAAATTAGTTGATTGTTAAATCTTGCAAAGTGAATGATTCTGTTAAAAATTGCTTTCATAATAATATGTAAATTTGTTTAAAAAAAGATTTAACCATTTTCAAATCAATAAAAAACTAATAAGAAAGTTACATGTATTTTGTCTTAAGTCATTTGTTCTTTTGTAAAATGGGTCCCATATCTTTAATCTTGCTTTATTTATTTTTTATGTTTATTATTGATTTAAACTTGAAAATTGAAATCTGACTTGGGAATTCACAGTTCCATAAAGCCCCTGCCATTTCATGTACCTTAGAAGTCTCGCTGAAAGTGTTGAAGTTTTATGTTTAAAAATACAGTTGAACTTCGGTATCTCGAACACTGATATCTCGAATATCATGAATATATGTCAAAGTGATTTGGAAATCCCAATCGCTTTTCCCTTAAGTATTTTACCCTGGATATCTCGAATCCTCGGATACCTGAAAGTATTTTCTAGGTCCCATCGGGTTCGAGATAATGAAGTTTGACTGTAAATCCTTTTTTTAAAATAATTTTATTGATTCTGTATTTGCAATAAAATAAAGAATTAATTTCCTGTAGTTTTTTTTTTGTTTTTTTTTTTTAATTTTTCCAAGTTTTTAAAAAAAAGTATTTTGTATATGTTATAAAGAAGATAAGCAATATCTTATGCTCTGCTCCAGTATATATTTCCTGCTTATGCAAGGTTCCCTATGATGTTCATCTGTTTAATGGCCATTTTTGTGTTCTTGTTAATGACTTATAATACTGTTGACTTGTAATATACAATTGTACAGATGTACTGTTATGCTTATTAAATTGTTGGCAACTTTTGTAATGATTAAACTAAAAATTGATTTTAAATTTTGAGGTTGCAGTCTCTCTATATTTCTTATGGGAAAAAAATTGACAAATTTCTTTGCAGCTGGTGAGCTTCAGTGACCTGCACTTTAAGCAAGCAGCAATAATTTCTTTGACAAAATTGAACACAAAACTACATCTACTTGATGATACATTTAGCTGCTGCATCAAAATATGACATCACTCAAGACTGTTGTCTGAAGGAAAGACTTTATCCTTGTGTTGGTCAAAGAATTTTATTCCTTCATTGGGCCTGCCTTATAATTTAAATGTATTTGATCAAAATTGAATCTACACTGCATTAGGCAGTGCTTTCCAAGAAATGTCCAATTCCAGACTTCCTGTTTGGAGATTTCTAGAGGTTAAAGGAGACTTCTTACAAGTCACAATATGTTCCCCTCTGATTCAAGGGCCACAAAACGTAAATGAGATCACTTTTTAGCTCACCTGAGCCGAAGGCTCAAGTGAGCTTTTCTGATCACATTTTGTCTGTAGTCCGTCTGTCCGTCCGTCTGTCTGTAAACTTTTCACATTTTCGACTTCTTCTCAAGAACCACTGGGCCAATTTCAACCAAACTTGCCACAAAGTATCCTTGGGTGAAGGGGATTCAAGTTTGTTCAAATGAAGGGCCATGCCCTCTTTCAAGGGGAGATAATAAAGAATTAGTGAAAAATTAATAGCATCTTTTAAAAATCTTCTTCTCAAGAACCACAAAGCCAGGGAAGATGAAACTCATGTGGAAGCATCCTCAGGTAGTGTAGATTCAAGTTTGTTCAAATCATGACCCCCGGGGGTAGGGCGGGGCCACAATGGAGGATCAAAGTTTTACATAGAAATATATGGGGAAAAACCTTTAAAAATCTTCTCAAGAACAGCAAAGCCATGATGAGTCATATTTATATGGAAGCATCCTCAGGTAGTGTAGATTCAAGTTTGTTCAAATCATGACCCCCGGGGGTAGGGCGGGGCCACAATGGAGGATCAAAGTTTTACATAGAAATATATGGGAAAAACCTTTAAAAATCTTCTCCTCAAGAACAGCAAAGCCATGATGAGTCATATTTATATGGAAGCATCCTCAGATAGTGTAAATTCAAGTTTGTTCAAATCATGACCCCCGGGGGTAGGGCGGGGCCACAATGGAGGATCAAAGTTTTACATAGAAATATATGGGAAAAATCTTTAAAAATCTTCTTCTCAATAACAGCAAAGCCCTAATTGATCATATTGATATGGAAGCATCCTAAGGTAGTGTAGATTTAAGTATGTCCAAATCATGACCCCTGGGGGTAGGGTGGGGCCCCAAAGGAGGATCAAAGTTTTACATAGAAATATATAGGAAAAATCTTTAAAAATCTTCTTCTCAAGAATAGCAAAGCCCTGATTGATCATATTTACGTGGAAGTATACTCAGGTAGTGTAGATTCAGGTTTGTTCAAATGTTGCCCCCCTGGGGTTGGGTGGGGCCACAATGGAGGATCAAAGTCTGAAATAGAAATATATAGGAAGATTTCATCTGATGAAGAACTGCAAAGCCATGATTAGTCATTTTGATATGGAAGCATCATCAGGTAGTGTAAATTCAATTTTGTTCAAATGATGACCCCCGAGGGTAGGGTGGGGCCCAATAGGGGGATAGAAAGTTTTACATAAGAACACATAGAAAAAATATTTCTTCTCAAGAACAGAAAAGCTATGTTTAGTATATTGATATGGAAGCATCTTCAGGTAGTGTAGATTCAAGTTTGTTCAAATGACGACCCCCGAGAGTAGGACGGGGCCACAATGGAGGATCGAATGTTACATAAGAACATATAGAAAAAATATTTCTTCTCAAGAACAGAAAAGCTATGTTTAGTCATATTGATATGGAAGCATCTTCAGGTAGTGTAGATTCCAGTTTGTTCAAATGATGACCCCTGGGATAGGGAGGAGCCACAAGGGGGGATCAAATTTTTACAAAGGAATATATCAGAATTTTTTTTAAAAATCTCAAGAACAACAAAGCCATTTGTTATTTTGACATGGAAGCATCATCCGGTAGTTTAAAATTCAAGCTCCCCCCCCCCCCCCCCCCCCCCCGGTAGTTTAAAATTCAAGCTCCCCCCCCCCCCCCCCCCCCCCGAATCTTTTCAATACTGAACTGATTTGTGCTTTTGCCTATCCACTGTGCTCAGGTGAGCGATGTGGCCCATGGGCCTCTTGTTTTTTTATCTTGCATGGCCTCACTTTCACAAAAGGATGTACAGTGTATATAGTGGAGAAAAGAGACTGAGGTCAAAAGTGAGCTATTTAAGTTTTATGGCCCTCGAGCTAAAACCTGAACTCTGACTGTGCCTCATCCTAACCTTCCAGGTCGAGATATTGATAATCATGTACATGTATTCTACATGTACATAATTTGATGAAGTTTTTACATTTTTTATGGTAATATCAAGAAGAAAATTTGAAATAACTTGCCCCCACTTATTTGGAACTTCAGTTTGGACTAGGATCTTATCATTCATTCTGGACCTTCAAGGAAGAATGCTTCAGTTGTGTTTGCTTTATACTGTGGCTTCATGATTTTATGAAAGTCTGTTGAAGTAAATATTAGGCCAACTATCCATGTTTGCATGCTCAGATTAGTGCATTTCAATTGCCAATGCACACTTTAATACATTTAATTACAAGTTGGAAAACAATAAGACGTGTGCCACACACACACAGTTTCCTAAACTCCTTCCATATATTCACATGACAGAATTATACCAACTGAAACTAGAACTATCTTAGCAGGACTATATTACCCCATAGGGTACACTCGTAGGAAGATTAAAACTTTACAAATTTGAATCTCATTTTATGAAACTTTTACCTTACTCAAACTCCTACATATCATGTAAAAGCATCTGCACTCTTTGCCTTTCATTGCTATGACAAAGATTTTTACAATTCCATACCCTTTGACCTTGATCTCATCCAAATGACCTTAGTGCAGGGTCAAGACACACCCTTGGTCATCAGCATAGTTTATGATTTTCCATTTGAAATATTTGAAAAATTATATCAATAACTATAATAACAAAGTCAAATATTCCCAGATAAATTCTTTTACCGGTAATCCCAAGAGTTAACTTTCCTTGCCTACTCGAAGATATATACATGTATTTTTTTTTAATATGAAAAATGCAAGATATTTTTCTCTTATTTTATTGATTATTACAATTATAGCAATGTAGATTATTCCTAATAATTGTAATATCATGCAGTAATACCTACTGTATCAAAATCACAACAAGATCACACCAAATCTGTCCTGAAACTTTAGTTTCAATCATCACAATGTTGGCAAAAACAAAATGAAGACAAAACATTATACAATGGATAAAACTGACATAGCCAATCACAATTAATTAACACTTAGATCAATTAACCAATCAATCAGATAAATATAAATTGTATATCAGGTATGAAGTTGAACCTGTACGAAATGTTCCGCCTGGAATATAGGGGGAATAGAGGCGTACTTGGAGAAGGGATTCCGGGCGTCAGTTTGTCTCAATACATATATGGTGATATACAGGTTCCAGGCATAAGCCAAGAGGAAATGAGCAGGAATTTGAGGCGAAAAATGCAAATGAGCTACGCCCCGAAAAATAAACGACACCTGGAAAAAATTTACGCCTGGAAACTAAAATGTCGCCTGAAGCAGAATTACGCCTGGAAAGTCCTTATTATTATATAATACTATGTGACCTAAAAACCTTATATAACCAAGAAAAAACATTTAGGTTATGATTTACAATGTTAAAGTTAAAAATTTAGCCTTTTGAACTGGAAGAAAACATAATGACAGGTCATTAACATAGTATAGAAATATAATTTATAAAAGCCATTTCAATTTTTTGTATAAGGGACACTGTCACCACCATGAGTGTAAAATAATGTTTAAGAATTCAATAAACTTTTTAAAATACATTTTATCACTTCAATAATCATTACACTGAAACAAATTACTTAATACAGTTCTTCATTTATTCATTACTTTACAGTTCGAATGCCTCTATCAGACTAACTCAAAATATCTAAAGTAAAGAGTCAATAAGTTATAACTTATGATCATTGTACATAATCATAATGGAAGGATCTACTCAAGTTGATACCAGATATTAATTATCTCACCTACCAGCAGATACTGTGTCATCCAGAACAAGTGTAAAAGCCTTAACATTGATATATCTGTATTTCCTATTTCACTCACACTAAACTCCCTCCTTCCTGATCAAATTCAAACTTAACCTCCTATCTGAAATGACCCTTAATTGATAATTAAATTGACCAATCAGATGCTTTCCCTCCTCCTGAAAGTTCCAGGTGTAATTTTTGTTTCCATTTTCCTGCCATTTTACGCCAGGAAAATCTGAACTTGCCAACTGACGCCCGGAAAGTAGAAATGACGCCTGGAAGACGCCTCTTCTACTCAGGCGTAACTTTTCAAAAACTCCGTCTCCGCCTCAAGTACGCCCGGAATTTGCCAATTCCTGCTAGATTCCACCCATATTCCAGGCGGAATCCGCCTTTAAAATTCATACAGGAAATATCAAATTTCATCTTTAAATAGTCCTGTATTTACAATCTTAAACATTTTGTTGCATGGTTTGATATACATGAGAGAAGAAAAACAATTAACAGTTAAATGAGATCAACTCAATTTAAATGTTTCAAAGGATTTCATAGCAACAATACTAAACAACAAATTAAAAAATCAGTTCTTTCTACTTAATGATATACATAGTCATAATTATATAGATCAATACTTTAATGTTTAAGAAATTCTCAGTCACTCAGGTTTTCGGTCACCTATGTTTTAGTTAACATAACAATTAGCATTTCTGCTTAGATTATTAATTTTAATTAATTCTGCTTAGATTATTAATTTTAATTATTTCTGCTTAATAGATTATTAATTTTATTTATCTAAATGTAAGAGAACTTCAGTAAATAAGAGATCAAATGTATACAATATAAAAAGAAGACATGAATCAGGTTCCCGGTATGTGTGTACATGTATATGAAAATACAAAATGAGCAATCAATGGGCCACAATGCTCACCAGTCATGTTTACAATGTAAACGAAATAAATATTTATATATCTAGTAGAAAAATAAGCCCTTATCAAGGCCTACAAAGTGACACAAGTTATGGTTTTTGACAATATTCAGTTGATTAAACACATATAATGATCCTTGCATTTTAAATTATAGCTAGTCATATCCTTGTTCTTGAGAAAGTCTACAATAATCATATATTTACATGTGTATGCAAAATATTAACCTCTGCTTGAGTTCTCAACATACTGTAACAACTGACTAGATTCGAATCTATATTTCAATACTATTAGTAATGCTTGCATACTAATTTGACTATTAAACAAGCATTCTGAGAGTGTTTCATAAGCAATACTAAATCAAAACTGAAAAATCATAGAAGTGGAATGAATTGCAAAGTAAATCTGTAACTGATCAGACAACAAGATAGACTCACAAACAAAAAAATGAGTTCAATTTATGCAAGCCTCTAGAAAAAAACTTCATAAAACCAGTATGGACAGACTAATTGAAAGATAGAGGGACAGAGAGAGAGAGAGGAATTCTATTGGTCCCCTCCAGTTTCACCGGTAGGGAACTGATACAAACATGTGACTATATTAATCTAAGTAAGGGTGCTCTAAGTGTCCCTTCCCTGTACCTTTTAATCAGTCAATTATAAGCTTCCTTGAAGTTTGTAAAAATTATCAGTCTCAATAAGGATGCTCTAAACACTGCTCGTTGAAGAGTTCGAATTCTATACTGTCTTATGAAGTTAACAGAGTGAATATCTGCCCTCTGATGTAAAATGAATAATAAATGGAGATGTACAGTAAAATGACACAATTTGAAATAGATTTAATTATTCTAAACATTATACTAGACTAAGATAAGGTAGTTTAAACATTATTTGCATGTATTACATGTACATTCCCAATGTTAGTGAACAACAGTGATTTCTGTTCACTGATACTTTATGGTCTTTCAAGATTTTTTTTTTTTTTTGGAGAAATATGGCAGGTACCCATGTTGAATATGAACTAGGATAAATCCAATATATACACTTATATATGATGCAATTTTCTCAAATTTGAAAACACATTTCATTAGTGTTTAGAGCTTCCTTAAAAGCCACTTAAAAGTCTTCACATTTATCTAAATGCCCTGGGCACTTACTCAGGCAAATATGCATGTACTTAAAAATACTTCTAAAGTATATAAACACTCATACAAATATAAGTATAAAAACAATATAATCTACAAAATAGACACATTTATTAATAGACAGGTAGAGTTCAAATCTATATACACTGTAAAACAATGATATCTCAGTTTTAACATGACAAACACTTGGTAAACCTTGTATATGTATAAAATAAAATAAAAAGGCATTTGTACTTACATCTCTTCAATATTAAATTCCAAAAAATACTTTTAATGAAATATAAACTAAAAATTTCCTTGAAATTTTTTTCTTTACAAAAAAAAAAAAAAAAAAAAAAAAAAACACTCATAAATATTATATCTCAAAATATTTTTAGTTTACTGTAAATATACCCCATAACTTCCTTGTTTTTTCCTAAATAATAAATATTTTATTTCTGGCATTACTAGTGAACTTAATTGTGATAGCTCCTAGGATAAAGTGTCTAAACTGCTGAAAGGAAATTGATCAACTTTTACATAAAAATATCAACTTTAGGCCAGATGATACAGTTTTATCATAACTCATGATGAAAATAACAAATCAGTAAAATGAATAAGTTTAGCTGAAAAAATTTCATTTTTCATTCAAAGTTTCTCAATAATATCCTTTAAAAGGAATTATCCTTTAAAGAGATGAAAAATTGTTATAGAGTGATGATTAAAAAAAAAAAGAAGACATTTGAGTGTCATAGAAAGTTTACAATTTCTTAATATTTTAGATATTTCATACATGCATTATTTACCACCAGAATTAGTCCAAAAATATACACCAAACCGTGCATCCAAATTATTGTTTGTATCATCTGTCCTTAAAGGTTAAAAATGTAGAAAAAAAATCTACTCAAATCTTGAATATCTATAAAGATGATGCCATATAAATTTTGGAGTCAGGAGCACTTCATTAGGAGCCTTGTTAGGGATAACGGCCTCTTTGTTTGTGAAGATTTCCTTGTCTTTCGTGACTGAATGCCGGCCATAGATTCTTGTGTGATATAACAAATATTCCATTAGGTACATTTCCTCTGGAGTGACATAGTGGAAAGACACTGTGAACTCACTGCAGCAATCAGGGCCCTGGAAAAAAAGAAAAAAAAGGGTATTTGAGTCATATCTTTGCAGTACATAAATTCATGATGTTAATCCATTACTGAACAAGGCCTAAGCTGGATCAACATTATGCACAGAAGGGGAGACCGGGGGGGGGGGGGGGGGGGGGGGGCGGATCCCCTGGAATTTGCATGTTTTTAAATGTATAAAGCAACTAAAAGTGACCTTGGTCCCTCCTAGAAAACACGGACTCCTGTTAATTTGGTAGGAAAATTCATACATGAGAAATGAAGTGGATTCACACATAAAAACAGTGTAAAACATTTTAGCTATGTATAAGCTATGTATAAAACATGTGATAAAAGAATCTACCATTGGTTTGTGGTAGGATATGATTTTTATTCAACTTGTGTGTTTTCTATCCCATCACCAAGGCTCGAGGATAGAAAACATAACTCACTGGATAAAAATCATATCCAACAACAAACCATGGGAGATCCTATACATATCACATATTAAAACTGGAAAAAGATTAAGTCTTGTATTTACTGTGTTATACGGCCTTGAGACATAGTAAATCTCTCCTCCTTTGTGTCCATAGAAAGCCCTCTGAAAGCCAAATGGGTGGAATGCTTGTCGTCCTTGAGTATCAATTGTGGAATAAATTTTTACACCAAGGTTCCCAAAACACCTCCCAATATCCAAGTCCTCGTCCTTTCCGGATACCTCACATTTCCCCGACACCTGAAAACCTTCCTCGTTGATTATCTCCAGGGCCTTTCTATTAATAGCATATCCGGCACCTCCTGACAAATATCCCTGTTTTGTCAACAGTCTAAACTGGTGCCCCAGATAAACTGGTACATGAGATTCATGCTTTGCAAGAAGAAGGCGTAAATTTTCCATGATGATAAATACATCATCGTCACATTTGAAAAACCAATCATAGTCATTTTTATAAGTTCTGTAAAGTGCTGTAAGTGTCTTTACGGTTTTGTCAGTGAGGTAGCTCCTTCCCTCCTTAACATCCACCTGCATGGTATATAAGGTAGAGCTAGGCTCTGGAGTCACAAAAATTAGTTTCGTACATCGAGCTCCCCATGTGTTGTTCACGGCTATAGCCTTTGTATGCATGTTAGCTGGCACCGTCATGGTGTAGCAGAGAATTCTTAACTTCTGGGCTTTCTCATTAAGATAGGATTTTTCTCTGTCAAGATCTGGAATTATAACAGAGTATATAACATTTATTAAGCAAATACTAATGAAAAGTCTAAAGCACTTAAACAAAATATTCAAACAATTTCATGTATACCAAGTGTGTCCACAAAGAAAACTTCAAAGCATTTAAGTACAGTTCTGTGTAAAAATCATGCAAAGGGTGATATATGAAGGTTCTCAGAATTCGATGATTTTCCACACATAGTTTTCTTTTGCCCTATGAACCATGTATGCAAAAGGAAAAATGTTTTGATTCACGGTTACCATGGAAACATGGGTAAAGAATTTTCCCTAGCAACCAGCCGATTTTCAGCTTTGATGGACTAAAAAATCTCTTATCTTTCAGGCTCAAATTAAATGTAAATACTAAAAGAATTTCTTTTTCATTGCTGTTATTCTCAAGATAATGATCTTAACAGTTTTCACAATCAAAAATATAGAAATAAGATTTAAAGATATATCTGTGATATATGTGGGAATATATGCATGGTTTTCCTTTTTTGCTGACTCAGCATTTTCCTTGATTTTGGAATTATTCAATGCCTAATTACTCCAGTGATGGACCTCATACAGATATCCTGTGTATATAACATAAAAGCAGAGGATTTTGTCTTTTAGAATTTGAATTCAGAAGCGTATAATTTTTAAACATTCCTATCCGTTGCCTAGCAACAAAAAATGGATGTTTTGATGAATAAAAAGAGAAAAAATGTAAAATGCTAAAGTCATAAAACACATACCTTGTTATCTTTGAATATTCAAAACAAATTTTACAATAAATTGAAATTTTTGAGACCTCTCTGCAAGCTATGGAATGTTTTACAATTTGTAATCTCCATGGTAACAGCAATTTCCCCTTAGCAACACATCATAGAATAATAATTTTAGCATGTTCATGTACCTGTTGTTAAGGATTCTTCAAAGCATGCTGTAAAATTGTGATTAGGCAAATTTTACAATGTAATTAGCATCTTATAAAATTTTATTTTTCACTTGATTTTCCCATGGCAACGATTCTGAGCACATAGCAACCAATGTAACCTATGTAGAGTTAAGAGATTCTCTGTAGGAATTTCAACTGCTTTGATACTCAGAATCAAGATTACAGGACATGTTTATGTAAAATCATTGCTGGTACAAAATATACATAAATATATACATTTGCAATCAAGATTTAAAAATTCAAACTAAGAATGTTACCATGGTAACGGGTATAAACATCTTTGTTTATATCATTTCAGCTTTATTTCTTCATTTTCATTCATAGCTTTTTAAATTCAAAAAAGAAAATATACAAGCACAGGATTTCATGTTTTGAAAAAAAAATATTAATGCACTTCTTTAATTACTTTTTCATGAATGAAATAAATTCATTTTTTTTATTCAAGTATTTTATAAAATGAATGTTCGCATTTTGGCATAGTTAATTTTTCAAACTATTTTGCTATGTTGTAACAGAAAATTGAATCTTATGTGGAATTTCTGTAGGGCAAATCCTACTCTAGAGTCATTTTCCGGAGAATCCTACTCTAGAGCCAGTTTTCCGGGGGTAAAGATTTTATTAAGGATTTTTCAAAGCATGCTGTAAAATTGTGATTAGGCAAATTTTACAATGCAATTAGCATCTTATCAAAGTTTTTTTGTTATGTGAACATAACAACCAATGTAATCTATGAAGAATTGAGAGTCATATTCTTAAGGAGGGTTTCTTATCATATTTCTTGTATCTAAAAATTGACGAAATTTTCATAGAATCAAGAAGACATAATCACTAAGTGATGGTATCAGTAAGATTAAATTTTAGAACAAAGGTCAGGTCAAGGTCATATCTTTTTCCTTCACTTTAACAATAAAGAAACACTGTTTCCAATCATGTGATGCCTTCTTCTATTTCAAAAGTTAAAATGTTTTTCTTTCTGCGTAAAAAGATACTACCATATAGGGTCTTTCAGTTGATACCACCGAATCAACATGCATAATTCAACTAAAGTACATGTAGATATTGGCTAACCCGAATTTCCTCAATTTTTCTTAAATTGTTAGGATATTTTAGTCATTTTTATTTAAGGAATAACTGTCTAATTTTTTGGATTCATGATGTGATCAATCGAGTGGCTTGCGTGATAATTTGCATAAATGCCGAAGGCGTTTATGCATAAAATTATCATGCAAGCCAATTGATTGATCATCGTCATGAATCCAAAAAATCTGACAGTTATTCCTTATATTTATATGCTGCTGATTCTGAAAATTCCCGTGCTAATAACCCCGCTTCTGTCTCTATTTGTCCCGCCCCGCACGTGATTTTTTAAACCGCACCTACAGTAGATTTATGTAGAAATAAAGTATTTTTACAATTTGTAATTTTATCTCGGACAAAGACATTGGAAATGTAAATATATGCTTCGTAAATTTAAATTTTTCTTATTTTTACAAACGATGAAGCAGTCATATAAAGATACAAATTGACACAAAAACAACAAGTTTTGATGGTTTACTAAGAGAGAAAAACACTTTTTAAATATTTTTTGCTCAAATCTTTACTTAGATTGAAAGCTTTTAAAAGCTAAGAAAATTGTAGTTTGTTTGTAAAATCATATTTATTTGATATATTTTAAAACTTCAATCCGTTATTATTAATTTTAATTACATTTGAATTTTTAGGTCACCTGAGTCACTCAGGTGACCTATTGCTATCCGTTTTTGTCCGTCGTCGTGCGATGTGCGTTAACATTTGAACATTTTTAGCTTCTTCTCTGAAATCGCTCAACCAATTTCAACCAAATTTGGCATATAGCATCTATGGGTGAAGGGGAACAAAAATTATGAATTTCATGATCCCTGCCCCCCTGGGGCCTGAGGGGTGGGGCTAAAACCACCAAAATTAATGCAATCTTCAAAAATCTTCTTTACTCCTGGACATCAAGCAGTCAAACTGTTGGCATGATTGTAATAAGCATTGACCCCTCTACCAAAATTGAGAAATTCATGGCCCCAGGGTCAGGGGTTCTGGTGCTAGGGAGGGGCTATATAGATTATATAGTGAAAGTGCATTATTTCTTTGAAAATCTTCTTCTCTGCTCCTGGGTATTAAATAAACTAACTAAGTATATAGTTATGATGAGTAAGAGTGCCTCTTCCAAAATTGTGAAATTCATGGCCCCAGGGTCAGGGGTTCTGGTGTTAGGGCGGGGCTCTATTGATTATATAGTGAAAATGCATTACTTCTTTGAAAATCTTCTTCTCTGCTCCTGGGTATTAAATACAGTAACTAAGTACACAGTTATGATGAGCAAGAGTGCCTCTTTCAAAATTGTGAATTTCATGGCCCCAGGGGCAGGGGTTCTGGTGTTAGGGCGGGGCTCTATTGATTATATAGTGAAAATGCATTACTTCTTTGAAAATCTTCTTCTCTGCTCCTGGGTATTAAATAAAGTAACTAAGTACATAGTTATGATGAGCAAGAATGCCTCTTTCAAAATTATGAATTTCATGGCCCCAGGGGCAGGGGTTCTGGTGTTAGGGCGGGGCTCTATTGACTATATAGTGAAAATGCCTTAATTCTTTGAAAATCTACTTCTCTGCTCCTGGGTATTATTGAAACAAATTAAATACATAGTTTTGATAAGCAAGGATGCCTCTTCCAAAATTGTGAAATTCGTGGCTCCTGGATCAGGGGTTCTGGTGTTAGAGCGCCGCGGGCTCTATTGATTTAATGTGAAAATGTTTTAATTCTTTAAAAATCTTTTTCTCTGCCCCTGGGTATTATTCAAACAAACTAAGTACATTGTTATAATAAGCAATGATGCCTCTTCCAAAATTGTGAAATTCATGGCCCCGGGGACAGGAGTTCTGGTGCTAGGGTGGGGCTATATAGATCCTGTAGTGAAGGTGAATTATTTCTTTGAAAATCTTCTTCTCTGCCCCTGGGTATTGTTTAAACAAACTAAGTACATTGTTATGATAGGCAAGGATGCCTCTTCCAAAATTGTGAATTTTATGACCCCAGATTTAAGGGTTCTGGTGGTGGGGGAGGGGGGGGGCTTCTATTGATTATAAAGTGAAAAAGCAAAATTTATTTGCTGGGTCAGATGTGCTGGTGTGAGGGTGGGGCTCTTGATAATATGGTAAAAATGCATTAATTCTATTAAATAATCCTGTTTGCTCCTTGGTGTTTAGCAGATAAACAAAGTGATTAGTTATGATGAGCAAACTTATGGTCCCAGGGTCAGAAGCTCTGGTGTTGGGGGGGGGGGGGGGGGCTCTATTGATAATATAGTGAATCTGTAGTAAAAATGCATTATTTCTTTAAAAATCTTCTCTGCACCTGGGCATATCAGAGGTAAAAAGAGTAAAAGTTTTAATAAGGAAGATTATTTTTACCAGATTTTTGAACATCTGGACCATTTGGTCAAGTGTTCTGGTCCTGGCCAGGGCTCTATTATTTTGTATTATACTGAGAGGAGTTATTCCCCTTTGCCATTTACTTTTGATAATTTATCACTGTAAATAATGTACTTGAAAGGTAAATAGAATAAGATAATTATGCAAAAACTTTTATTGTATAATACAGAAAGTACTTTCATAGTTTTAATGATCAGATAGACTTGTAAGTAGTAGATAAATAAAAATGAGACAAAAATAACTTGTCTTATTAAATGTTCATCAAGGACCAAGAGAGGCCAATGTAAGAAATTTCAACAAAGGATTAAAATAGTACAGAAGCATTGATAATTTGTTAATATACTGTATGGTGATAGTGATAAATGGGGATCAGATTTATAGAACATAATTTATAAACTGTTAATGAATATTAAGACCAATTATTTTGTTGATCATGATCACCCTATTTTTCTTGCTTTTTGGCAACAAAGTTTCACCTTTCAGTTCATAGTATACTCTATGCATCCTTTAAATTGTTGTATCATACTCAGGTGACCGTTAAGGCCCTTGGGCCTCTTGTTTAAAAAGTCTTGTTTTGTTTGAAAATTTTAAGTAA